GATTTCTTCAGCTGTTTGGCTAGCGCAGAGGCTGCAAATAACACTGATCTATCAATATCCCTTTGTGGATTTCTGGCATTTGGTATCAGTTCAAGGATTTTTTTGCTAGCCTTTGATATTTGCCTTTGGACATCCTTTCCATTTGATGAGATTGACCTCCTGCTTACCAGTGACTCTGCCTCTGCCAATGTGTCTGCAAACACTATTTTCCAACTCACTGAGACAGCTGCCATCATAGCTGGATGCATTATTAAAAGGTAAAACATATAGTCTGAAAGCAGCTTGCATATTTCTTTGTGATTGAAGCTGTTAGAGGTAGACGTTTGGTCTTCTTCAGTCCCAGAGCCACGCGGTTGGTCCGGTTCCTGCTGCAGCCAACATATTTCAGTAGCTATATGCCATGTTAGTACACTCTTCGAGTAATCTAACTCCTCCAAGATATTGGCGATGTCCGTAGAATTGCTAAAGCTCTCAAGAGCCCGTTTCCTATTGGATTTCCAAGCTTGATTGGCCTCTAGCCCAGTTGGCCGAGACGCATCTGTGATTAAGGATGTGCTCAATTTTATCACTTCCTCATAAATGAAGCGCCATTGGTCTTCTTTGAAATCTTGAGAAGAGAGACATAGGATTCCTTTTATGGCTTCCAATAAAATCCGTATGCCAAGATAATTAGCAATGTCCCTTAACAAGACTGGGGAATATTTAACATAGTAAGTAATAAAATTCAACTGCGAAACTGCTCTACACCACCTGCGCTTATTGAAGAATTTGGACTCCATACTCTGGATGTGAGCAACCAAAATCCAATCAGATAAACCAAGCAATATGACAGACATGAATTCCAATAGCAAGGCCCCGATTAGCAACCCATAGGTTAGCCAGATGTCAAACTGCCCCAACTCATAATGCTTCTTAAATAATGAGAAGGACAACAAGGCTCCCAAGATGCAACAAATAGTAATGAACCTGAAAATGTATCCAATCATGCAACCAACCACAGGCAACTTGGTGTGAAGAACCTCATACAACAGGCTTAGCTCAATTTCCATTGCTTGCAACACGTGAGATGAATTTTCTAACTGGAGAAAGGTTTCCCTGATATCAGAGCATTGATCTGGAGATAAAAAAGGGCCTACAAGGGTCATCTTGATAGTGCCAAAGTGGTGAACTGCTGTCCATAATATTGACTTGAGACTCTTCTCAAATTTTTCCATGGTTTTGGCGTCCATCTTTTGGAATTCCACTGGAATCGGAAGTTCATCTCCCCATTCGCTAGGCGCCCAGCCATCTCCAAGATGATCAAAGCTTGCAAGATAAAATGCACGGTTACGTTCCGCGTATTTGATTATTCCTGCCACTGTCACCAGTATGGTTGGCAGCCAAAGCTTGTTCTCTGGAAGGGACTTAATGAAGACGTAGGCAGTAGAACCAACCTGCAACAAGAGCCCAAGCAAGTGCCTCACCCAAAACTCATTATCTTCGAGAGCGAAGGAAGTAATGGTGTCAGGACCACCGAGGTGCAATAGGAGAAAGGGTGCCCAAAAGACCTGGATGTCACTACTTTCAGTAGGACTTTTGATTTGCTTGCTTACGATCAATCCGATTGAAAAACCGGCAACCCAATCGGCCAACAAGTAAATCGACCAGATCAACAAGTCAACACATTTCCCATATATCTTACCTCTCCTTTTTCTATATGGCGCAAACAGAATTAAGAAGACCTGCACCGAAAGGCTAACGATAACGAATACCCTGATGTTCCATGTGGCCCATAGCTTCTTGGTTTCTTCAATAACAAAGGACGACATTGTTTTTTCTCAATTTCTTCGTTGTTGTTCTACGAAAACAAGGATTGAGCTAAGACAATGGGGAGAACAAGTTGGGATGAGAGCAAAAGAAATGAGAATATGGTAGGAAAGTGCAGCGAGTTTCGTGTTAGAGGAATCAAAGTGAAGCGCTATGCTTAATTACATATATAAATTTAAGAATTTTAATTCACAACCTATAAAAATTGGGGTGGAATAAAATCAATCATTTTTTTTTTTAAATTAGAAGATGGATAAAAAATAGTTATAATCAACTTTTTTTTTATGTTAATTATCATCAACTTTCTTTGGAAAAGATTATTTCTTGTTCCTTTTTTTTAAAAAAAAAATAGATATGAGAAAAAGTGTTTGTTAACTGGAGTTTTAAAAAATTAGAAGGAGGTCCCCAAACTACATTATTTTAATAAATTTTTATTGAAAATTATTAAAATAATATTTTAAGTAGAAATGATAGTGTTTTGGTAATTGTTATTGTGTTTTATTAAAACAATGTAGTTTTAAAGTGTTCTTTGTTTTAAGTTTTTAGAAATCCAACCAATAAATACTAATTTCAAGAGTTATTATATTAAAATAATAAAATTAAAATTACATATGAATCTATATCGTATTTTATAGTCAAAATAAAAGTATATTCTATAACAATAGAAATAAATAGAAACTAAACCCCTGATGGACATATAAAATTAAATATAGAGAGTTATTTATATTAGAGATTACAATAACAATTATGGTAGGAGCATAAGCAAAGCTATTTTATTCTACTAACATAGAAAGAAAGTACTATGAGTGCAATGACCTTTATAATTTCTAAATTTTTTTAGAATAATGATAAATGTGACTAAATTTTGAGATCAAAATCTAGAACCAATGATGTGACATAAGTTATATCATTTAAAATATTAAAAAATAAATCCTATATTATTTAATAATTAATTCTTTTTATTTTTTTGAAGCTTATGATATTATATGCATTAATTAATATAATAATGTGAGTTATGCCATGTAATTGATTTTAAATTCTCATCCTCCCTATCATTTTTTTTATAAGGTTTTCTAGTAACTTTTTATCAAATTATTTACTTATTTAAATAATTTGAGTTATGCCATGTAATTGATTTTAAATTCTCATCCTCCCTATCATTTTTTGTATAAGGTTTTCTAGTAATTTTTTATCAAATTATTTACTTTTAAATAATTTTTAATTTTTTAATAAT